AAAAAAAAAAAAAGAAAGAAAAGAAAATGCTGGCTCCTGAATAGGACAGGGGACTGGGTGGAGCTTACCTTGTAAGATGCCTTCTGAAAGCTGAGAAAATGCTCCCATATCTACTTATCTATCTATGTATGCACATACACTTGTGCACATTTGTACATACACGTATATAATTCTTTTGAGGGTGAGCATGTTCCATTACCTGCCTGTCCTCTAATACGTTCTTTTCAGGTACAATTTCTGAAACCCATGTTTTGAGCTGTGCAGTGCTGCCATGACCCTCATGTGAGTATCTGAGACTAGAGACTGGGGACACTCTGAGTCGGTGGCCTTTGGCCTGGCACACCTGCTCCGCAGGCTGGCCTATACCCTCTCCTGTCTGCACAGCGATCTGCCTGACTCTCCCAGTCTGCACCCTGGGAGACGACTTCATGCTAGCATGGCTTCCCCAGGAAGCCTCCACAATGGATGGGTATTTGGCTCTACCAAGTATCCATCACCTGCTTCCCCTTTGTCAGAGTAGGGGAGGGGAGCAGATACTGTGGTGTAAACTTAGCTGAGAACAAGCAATCTAAGGAGGTCGAGTCCTGGGGAGGGAGCCGGGAGAACAGTTGGAAGAGGGAGAGATGTTTCTATAGTCTTATTTCCCCTTTTACAGAATAAAGCCCCTTTTACAGAAAAGGGGTTTTGGTAGAACTTTCTCCTTTGAAAGCAATCTCAAGGGAAGCCCAGTTGGAGGAAACTAGTTTAAGATAAAACAAAAGTGTGAAATGAAGTTGACCCCAAGATCTACTAACTGCAGAGTACCAGCAGTGGTCCAGGAGAAAAGCACCTTAAGATATCAATAGCTGGGCTCGGTGCCTGTGGCTCAAGTGGCTAAGGTGTCAGCCGCATACAGTTAAGGTGGTGGGTTCAAATCCAGCCCAGGCCCACCAAACAACAATGACAGCTGCAACCAAAAAATAGCCTGGCACTGTGGCAGGCGCCTGTGGTCCCAGCTACTTGGGAGGCTGAGGCAGGAGACTTGCTTGAGCCCAGGAGTTGGAGGTGCTGGTTCTTTTTCATTAAAAAAAAAAAAGAGAGATCCTGATTATAATTCACTAAATTCATCTCAAGACCTAGAGGGCTGCAACGTGGTTTTAAACTTGGTTGATCATGGTCAGCCTCATTGGCAAAACCTTTCCTTTCCCCATTAGCATAGTCCTGGTAACACATTGAGTGTCATCTCCAGAAGTCAGTTACCTCAGTAGAGCACTGTGTCCTGTGTGCTCGGCTCATATTAACTCCCAGGCGACAGCTCACACTAGACTCTCCTGCTACTCTTTCCCTGATCATGAGCACAGCTGTTTTTAGTTTTCTCCAAGCCTGAGACAAGATTAGAGACATCAGCCTGCAGCATCTACAACCCGAATACCTTCAGATGTCATTGAAAATGCTGGCTCCTTGGGTGGTACCTGTGGCTCAAAGGGGTAGGGCACCGGCCCCATATGCCAGAGGTGGCAGGTTCAAACCCAGCCC